ATATATAATTAAAATTTGATTTCCACCAACCAACATTATGCAGTCGAGGATAAGAGGCTTCTCCGTCGTCTTTTTCGATGATCTTCACCACTCAGCTTCCCACCTCTTTCGACTACGTAAACGACAGCAACTTCCACTGCTTACATATAGTCACCGCTCCTTGTCTGACATAGAGAGCTTCTAATGTGTCAGACCAGCTGTTCTATCTCCTCCAAACCCTTTGATTTCTTCTCGTACACCTGCATTGTTGTCGACGTCGATGAGCTCTTCGTCCACCGTATAACAAATCAATGAAAGTAGTAAGAGCGGTGAGAGCCCATGCTGCTTTTTCTCATTCTCCGTCCCAAGATAAGGACTCCTTAATTTCTCATACACATTAAGGCTCCATGGTTGCAGGTTGCAGCCGGAATATGGAGGCGAGGATAAGCAGAAACGAAAAGAAGACAAGACGGCGTGTCGTATTTGATGTTTGTTGTTCGGGAAAGATTTTAAGCACTTAAGAATATAGATAGATAGAAGTAAAATCCTCCCCCACATAGAGCAATAATAGTGAAGAAGCTGCTAACGGTAATCATATGCGTGCCTAACTTTATCATAAGAAATCAATCGGGCATGAATCATAGTTACCTTTGTCCGTTTTGTTTTTTTTTTTTTTTAAATGTATTTGATAAAATTATTATTTATATGTTTTTAAAATAAAAAAAAAATTATTAAAAGAAAAAACTTATACTTTTATAAAACGGTAGAGTTCACATTCGCTCCAGTATTAAACTTTGTGGCCCATCACATATACAACGTTCCTTACTCCACCTAGCACGGAACATTAGTTGTGGGCAGGAGAGTGCAGGCAGCAATCGGTGGCGGGGAGATAATGGTCGGCCGGCAGCGGACGACTGCAAGAGGTGGCAGCGGGCAACAGTGGGTTAAGCGAAATGTTATTTTGGTATTTTAAAAATAGGTAAAAATATGTTTTTTGTTTAGTATTTTAAAAACAAAATATTCTCTAAAAATTAAAACAAAAAATTGTTAAGCAGGCATTATTTTTATATTTATTTCAAAAAAAAAAAATAGAAATTGGTCCAAATAGCACCTTAATCAACCAAGTAAAATAATTGAATAAATATCTTTTAGGCAGCAAAATATTTACATGGGGATTGACCGCAGACAAACGAACCTTAATGATGACAATAACAATTAACGGGCCGGATAAATCATGACCGCCCAACATGATTCTATCGATACCAACCCCATGATTCATGGACCCCACACCAACCGTGAGGCCCAAAAGGGCCAAACCCAAATGGGCCCACCGCTCTCCTCGATTTTTAATTCCAGCAGATGTGGGTCCCGTTCAATTTGGACCGTCCCGCCGAATCGAGAACCGCGAATCGTAACGATCGCAGTGCCCGTTCCGTCGCCGTCACCTGGAACGATGGCGTTTCCGTACCGTCACCAACACTGGTTGGCTGCGGAGCTCGCTGTCTTCATTGGGCAACGAATAGAAAATTGATTGGGTGAAAGAAGGAAATACAATATAAATTAATATTCTATATAAAATATTTAAGAATTATTTTTGATGAGCTAATTTTAATCAAATGACATGATTCTCTTGATATTTTCTTAACAAAAATTATAAGCTAAATTTAAAATTTATTCAGAACTTTAATTTCAACAAACTTACAGTTTAATTGATCGGCTCGACGAGATGAACTCAATGATGCCAAAATTGACCAAATCTGAGTCAAATTCGGCCAATAAGAAATCATTAAACCATTTTTTAAGTATTGAGTGGTCAAGTGAAAGGTCATATATATTTCAAATCTAGTAAATTTATAATCAAATTAAGCGTCTTGGTGAGACGAATCTAACGAGTGCAATATCACTCAAGCCCGACATCATTAATGTACTTAAATATCCCTAAAATGTAATCCACTAAAGAGAATTATTCTGAGTCGTCTGATGGAGTGATCCTAATTTCTGTCATACCGACTCTCACGAAATCTATAAATAGAATATTGCTTTCTTCATGAAGAGAGACCAAGACTTAGAGGTATACATAGAACCAAATCGGGTGGAGAAGGAGCCAACTTCGATAGCTGTTATGGACTGAAGACCCAATGATCATTCTCATAGCAGTTGACCACAGACGACCACCGCTCGTCGGTCGTCGTCAACTATCGTGACCACTATATGCTATTATCCATTGGTTGATCTTGGGAAGTGACAACATACTTGACAATAATTTTTTTGTGGAGAGTAACAAAGCACCTTACGGAGAAGCGCAGTGCCTTCAATAGCAATCATTGTCGTACCAGAAAAAATATGCATCAACTTTATGACCACAACTCTTAGTGGCAACAACTACCTACCATTGGAGGAGCTCAACTCCTTTTTTTTTTTTTTTTTTTTAGAACATGGGTCTTTAATTGTACTCCCAAGA